CAGATATGTACTGGTCAGCTGCTGTGGTTTGACCTCAAGAGGGATGGGCTCCGTCAGGTCGGATGCTCAGCTGTGTAATTAATTTAATTTAGTTAAAAATACCTTCATTAATTACAATTCACCGTCAATACTTGCAGATTCACAAATTTCATTATCATTTACAACAATAAATGCATGCCCGAAATTATTTTTTTTAGTTATTAAATCGAGGTGTCAGTTTTTATTGTTTTTTTTTTTAACTAACCACAGAATCAAATGAAAATATATGCTAATGAGGGTGCTGAATTAGCTGGGTTTTTTTTTTACAATGATGTTCACCTTGTACAAGGCTCGAGAGCCGCTCGAGGTAGAGGATTACAGAGTAAGAAGCACAGATTATGGGGATATGTGGAGAAGATAACAGTTAACACTAGATTTGAACAGGTTAAGACTGTAGTGATCAGGGAAGCATCCACTTGGGGGTTCATTCCACAAGGCTGTTGTTTGTGGGCAGAAGCTGCTCAAGTGGAACCTACATCACACCAAATGGAATCCAAAGGGAATGTTGCCCAATATATAAATTATTTGTTTCAGGATACCTCCCATTATATTCTCATTACTCGGTACTGCTGGCACAAATGAATGAAAGATGGCTGGAAGCAAAAGAACATTTCTTATTCTGAGACATTTCGTTCACAGAATTATCTACATCTGTATATCCACTGACTTTTTCTGCTAAAACTTAAGCAGTTTATTTTTATATTTTGATGAGGATTATAAATCTAAAAATTCTTCTCTAAGATACTGGAATTAAATGCTTATGAGATTCAGTTTACAGACGAAACCTGGCTACTCCATATCTAAATAACAAAACTACCGCAGAAGACTATGTTTCCTTTTTCCTTTTTTTATGCAAATCCATACACAGAACTTGCAGTGTGCTCCAACTTGTCATATATTTTATTGTATTTATAAAACAGTAATATTTTTTAAAATTTTTGTGTCTTACTTTAAAAGCAGTAAACTGATCATACATGAGATATAAAAGATGAAGAAAAGACTTGAAGCAACAGAAATCTTGTTCTACAGAAGGATGCTGAGAATACCATGGACCGAGCATTTGAGCAACGATAAAGTTCTCTCTAAAATGGAAACCAAAAGGACATTTATACATAACATCTAGAGCAGCTAGTTGAAATTTCTAGGACACATAATGAGGAAAGTGAGCTTTGAAAATTTGATACTCACAGGACAGATTGAAGGCAAGAGGAACGGGGGAAAACAATGCATCACCTATCCACTGAGCTTGAGTAGATGGATGGTGGGACAAGGTTTAAGAGAGATGACAAAAAGACAAAATTTATTAAGAGCTACATCAGGAAATTGTGGCGAGCCATGATCACCAATGTCCTGAAGGCATATGGCAAATAGAGAAACAAAAAGGATACTTAGAATTAACATCAGGAACAGGTCGTTGAAATTTCTAGGGAACATAATGAGGAAAGAGGGCTTGGAAAATTTTTAACTCACAGGACAAATTGAAGGAAAGCAGGACAGGGGAAAACAATGCATAATCTACCCAGTGAGTTTGAATAAATGGATGGCAGAGCAAGGTTTAGATAACAAAAAGAGAAGATTTATTAAGAGCTACAAATGTCAGCATATTGTGGAGAGCCATGATCACCAACAACCTGAAGCGATATGGCACATAGAAGATGAAGAACTGTAGATCTTTGTAGACTCAAATCTAAGCCAACAAGTTGAAGGGTATATTAACTCTATGAACACTCAGTCGGTTACGTGATATATGGGATCATGTCTCTTCCAATTAATGACATCTGAGGCAGAAGATCTTCCTGTAGTAGGTTACTGTTACTTTCTGTGGTAGACAGGTTACCAACCAAGGCTATAGGACCCTGTCTGTCTTGATATTTAACCCATAGATGCAGGGAGAAGAGATGGATTCATATTCTTCACAAGGGGATTTTGCACATAAGTGGATATAACAAACCTGACTGGAATTTGAACTTGACGCTCTGATTTCTCAATCCACGCTGATTACACCATAAAGCACATAAACACGAGTTTTTTTAACTAATTTCACCCCAAGCAAGGTAGTAGAGCCACTGAGACACAAGGGGTTACTGGGTGTTGAAGAGTTTGCAACAGATACATTACTAAGGAGCAAAAACAAAAGAAAAGTAATCAGAAAGACAGTAGATAGTGACTGACATTGCATTTAAATTTTTGAAGGTGAAAGCTAGCTGGAAAGCATGTAGCTGGAAGGGCGTTAGCATAGAACTTAAGTCAGCTCAACTGTAAACTGATGAGACCTTGTTGTCAGTTTAGTCAGTCAGATATATGTCATGCGTGATACACACTTATGATCATGTATCTTTTGATACATGACTAACGAGGCAGATTTTTTTCCTGCAGTAGGTTGCCATTTCTTTTTGCAGTAGACCAGTTGCCATCCAAGGCTATAGGACCCAGTCTGTCCTGCTATTTACCCATAGCTGGGGAGGGGGAGAAGAAGAGGATTCATACCTTTCCCAAGTGTATTAGCACATAAGTGAATGTAATGGATTCAACTGGAATTCGAACTCTACTCTCCAATTCCTCAATCTAAGCCACTATCCATTACTCTACCATGCCTAAATTCAAAGAGTCTAGGCACCATAGTAAAGAGCTCATCTGAACAATTACCATGAGAGTATTTATAGAAAATGTACAAGAAGGCAATGAAAAATAGTTCTTTTTCCTTCACTTAAAAAAAACAGATATCAGTGCTTATCAACATTGATTATTAATGTTACTCATAATATTCAGATCATTATCATTAATAATAATAATAGTAATAATTTTCTTCCTGATTGCATAACACCTTATCTCTTTGTATCTTCAGATACAAAAAAAATTATTTACATTATTCGGACTATTGTCCTTATCTTTGTCGCCATATTTTCGTCCGTTGTACACTCCAGCCTTCTTCAGGTGGTTGGAATGTTGAACTGAACCCTTTATTTTGGTCACTGGGATAGACTGTTCTAGTTTCACGTGCCATGTCAGTTATCAGTTATTTCCTGTTAATTTCCCTCTGAAAGATCTCCACTGCCTTAACAGGGTATTGAACTCACACTCTTTGGGTCCTGTCACTAACTAACACCTTTATCCACTGTGCTATGTGTCCTTGAGGATATCTGTGTATGAATTTCTGGGTATTATAAAATGTCTTCAGCAATCATTTTTTTACCAGTGCTCATATTTCAATTTTTACTGTTATCATTACATGTTTTTGCCAGAGCTCATATTGCAATTTTTGTTATTATTATCGCTTTTCTCTGGCACTCCTTATTACAGGTTCCCATATTGTATTCATTTCTATGCTTGGTCGGCTCAGGAGATTTTTGTGGCCTAGCATATGTGCTGATTTCTTAAGTTTATGAATTTTTCAATGGTGTTCTTTGTCTATGATCTCAACCAGAGAGGTCGGTGATCTCCTTTCTGTCTCCATATGTCTGATTTTTCCACTTCCCCTCATGTTACAGCTTTCTGGGGTTCAACATTCCAACCACCTGAAGAAGACTGGAGCATACAATGGCCAAAACATTGTAATAAATATGGTGACAAAGATGAGGACAATAGTTCGAATAATGTAAATAATGTACATAATACCTCATCTCAGAAATTTAGACAGATACAAAAAAACATTTTTCTTGAAATCTCTGGTTGAGACTTGGCAGAAACTCGTACTACACAAAAGAAAGATAAAACACAATAAAATAATAATCAAACCATATAATAATCATCAGAATCAATTTATTTATATATTTCCTGTCCTCTACTCCTACATTTTTTAGATTGAGGTTTTGTTGGTTCAAACCTTTCATGTGTGGCACTCAGATACCTTTGTCTATTAAGTGACCATCTTGTTTCAACTTGATCTTGAAATAGGTTTTGTCGTTGCCATTTTTGTGGTTCTGTTGCTAAGTTTTTTCTTCCAAGAGATATTTCCATTCCACGGTTATATCAAACACATAAGATTTCTAACATGAAAAGATATTGAACAAAAAGCGATTTATATAATACCAGGAGTAATCAGTGAATCATAGATACCATTGAATGGCTAAAAAATATAAAGGGAACAGATTCATAAAATGGTTCATTGGCATCTGTTTTAGTTGGAAATTCTTCATCTCCGCTTTATTGAATCTAAATACATTGTTTCAAGACTTTTGTTTCATTGCATTGCACTATTAAGACTTTATAACAATTGCCATCATTTTGACAACATAGGTTACATAATCACTTACCTGAAAATCTGTAAACTGAAAATTTATGTATAATGGACTATTTTTTTCATAGTCTATATGACAAAGCTTATTTGATGCCAAACTTGCTCCAGTAGACCTCACATCACAAAATTTATTTTCACTGCTATAGCATAGAAGAAATTTCACCTCTTAGACAACTTTCTGCAGCTTATGAAGATTTTGTTCATTTTTTTATTAATTTTTTAACTTTGAAATATGTGAAAAACATTAAAGATTCTACTATAGGTAACAGTCTACTATATATGCTACCATTTTGAAAAATTGCAAATTTTGTAAAGTATGTTTCAGTTAAGTAATTATGTCTTTATTTCTTAATTTACTCATAGTTCACCCAATACAAGGCTCGGGGACCACTCAAGTTAGAGGGTTATAGAGTAAGAGGTACAGTTAATGGGCATATATGGGGAAAGAAAATGGTTGAACACTTTAGGGTCACTGGATGAAATTGTAAAGGAGTGAAAAGCAAGAGAGTATTGTGAGGAAGAGTAAGATAAATGTTGATGGTTGATGTAGACTTAAAGAGCTCTCATGGCTTCTGATTTTTTATTGATTGGAGGTGTCATCTTGTACATGCTTTGTCATGGTTAATTAAAATGGGTTATATAGTAAATATCCCATTTAGTACCACAGATTTGCTTGTCAGTTGCCTGACCTTGGCCAGTGAGGCATGTAATAGTGTTATTAGTTTTAGTTGTAATAGAAAATAGTGAAATGGGGAGGGTAGGTAGAGGTGGAGGAGAAGAAAAAGAAAGAGAAGGAAATTGGAAGGAAGAAGAAAGAAAAATAAGAAAGGAAAGGAAAAAGAAGAAAGAAAAGAAAAAGAAGGAAAAGGGAAAGAAAGAAGAAGAAGAAGAAGAAAAATGAGTAAAGGGAAAAGAAGAAGAAATAAAAGAAAAAGAAGGAAAAGGAAATGAAGAAAAAGGAAAGGGAAAAGAAGAAGAAGGAATTAGAAAAGAAGGAAAGAGAAAAGAAAAAGAAGGAAAAGGAAATGAAGACAGAAAAGGAAAAGAAGGGAAAAGAGAAGAAGAAGAAGAAGAAGAAGGAGGAGGAGTAAAGGGAAAAGAAGAAGAAATAAAAGAAAAAGAAGGAAAAATGAAATGAAGACAGAAAAGGAAAAGAAGGGAAAAGAGAAGAAGAATGAGTAAAGGGGAAATGAAGAAGGAAAAGGAAAAGAAGGGAAAAGAGAAGAAGAAGAAGAAGAAGAAGAAAAAGAAGGAGAGGGGAAATGAAGAAGGAAAAGGAAGAGAAGAAGAAGAATGAAATCAAAAGGAAGAAGGAAAACTGAAAAACTATTTGGAATAAATTGGAAGTGAAACCAAGATTACAGACCTCCAGAAAACTAGCATCATTTATTCCGTGAGGATTCTCTGAAAAATTCTTGAGTTGTGAGCAGTCTTGTTGACAACATGCTTCAAGAACAGAATTTCCATTGACTTATATCAATGTGCAATACCAACTTAATAATAATAATAAAGTCCAGATGCTACACTAGACATGACTCTGGTGGCTTCTGATCTTAATTGTCTGGAGGTGTCAACATGTACATGTTTTGTTTCAGTGAATTAAGAGGGTATACAGTCAATATTCCATTTAGTACCACAGATTTGCTTGTCAGTTGCCCTACCATAACCATTTGGGCATATAATAGTGTTGTTATTAGTTTTGTGTTCTGACAGAGAATGGTAAATGTGATGCTGAGATCTGAAGATGTATTGGGATGGCCAAAGACGCCTTCCAAAAGCTAGGCTGAGTATTATGAGACAGGAGGATTTCGTTGGTAACAAAGAAAAGAGTACTGAACTGCTACATGATATCTGTCCTCCTTTACAGAAGCGAATGTTGGACAGTCTCCTCAAAGATGAAGAAGAGACTCAACATGTTTTGTTTCACTGAATTAAGAGGGTATACAGTCAATATTCCATTTAGTACAATAGATTTGCTTGTCAATTGCCTGACTTGAACCTTAGGACATGCATGGGGCATTTCTGTTTCTACGCATGAGTAGTAGAGGGAGCATTGGTGGCCTAGTGTCATGAGGATTGTATTTTTAAATTTGAATGCTGAGGCAACCGAGGCAACATAGGGAGTGAAATTTCAATACGTGACACAGCTAGGACCTGTCATGCCACTTATGTAGTAACAAATCACCCACATTTCCCTTTGTATTCAATCAACAGGCAGTAAATTCCACTCAAACAGATTCTTTCTGTGAACCACTGCCCTGTGGAACTAACTATATAGAGGATTTTTCCATGATCATCACAATCTTAACCTGTTCAAGTTAACGATTATCTTCACCTCCTATCCATATAAACTACCCCTTACTCTAACCTTCTATCTGGAGTGGCTCTCATGCCTTGTACAGGCTGAACATTACTGTAAAAACAACAACTTCAATCAGAGACCATCTGAGTAGGTGTAGTTACCTGACCAGAAGATGTTTCAAATGGGGTTCTACCTGCAAGGTTAGGCATTCATATTATCAAAGACTTCCAATATACAATGCACATTTGGTTGCAATGCAAGTATCAGATATACACTTATCAAATTGGGTGTCCTGATGGGTACACTGGTCTTTATATATTTGTATCCCAGTATCACTTTGCTGGTGCACTACTCTCTCACTCAATAATGTTGTTTTTGTTGTTGTTGTTTTCATTGATGTTGTTGTTTTCATTGTTGTTGTTGTTGTTGTTTTCATTGTTGTGGTGGTGGTGGTGGTGCAAGGAATTCTTAGTGATCATACTGTCATCAAAAGAAGACTAGCATTCAAATAAAGACTCAGATGCAAGTAAAAAGTAAACATAAATATCAAATTGAAATTCCAATGAGGCTAAATTTTTTTTTTTCAACCATTCAGCCTGTTTTAATTTCTGGCAAAAATTTAAATCATTTTCAAGAGAATTTTCCTTCTATGTAGGAGTCATGATTTAAATTCTTAATTTTTAAGCATTCTTAAAATTTTGATCTAAACTCCATTCAAAGTTTGGGAAAAGGAATGCTTTAAAACATAAAATAAAAATAAACTTGATATATTTATTTTTTGAATAGATATCTTAATTTTATTAAGGCTGAAAACTGAAGATTGGAATGCCCTAACAGCCAGCCCAGATATGGTACCAATACTGAATTTTTGGTCTAATATGACTCTTGTAAAAATAAAGCACAACAGAAGGAGTGAGGTATTTTCTAGATTAGTAGAATGAGACAACCATATTTCTACCTGAGGTCTGGAGTGAATTTGAGTCCCAATAGACATTCAAAGTATAGAATCTCCAGCTCAGATATGGCAGCAATACTCCATTTTTATTCTAATATGACTCTTGTAAAGATAAAGCATGGCAGAAAGAGTTAGGTGCTTTCTGGCATGGTAGAATGAGCCAATCACTTTCCAGTATTTTAATGTAATCATTAAGCTTGAATACACAAAAATATTCTTTTTACCCTTTTTTTTTTTACTTATTGTTCCCTCAGAGCTTGTTAGGAGCTATAATGTTAGATTTTTGGAAGAGTTTTGGGCAGAGAGCTTTTCTGCTGCACACGTTGTTTATTTAAAAAGATCTGTACAAATCCAAACATCTGATACTAATTTCTTTGCAGGATGTTTTATAAAGATGTACCTTCTTACCAGATGAATATTGAATATGTGAATGCGATTCAAGATCATTTATCTACAAGGATAAGTAAACAAAGGTTAACAAATACTTTCAGGAGATTAAGATAAAATTTCAATCATAAAGAGACATACACATGCACACGTGCACACAAACACACATGCACACACAGACATATACATATATATATTTTTTTTTATGGCGTTATAGGATCTCTCCATGTTTATTTATATATAATCATATTAATTAATATGAGAAAGTGTTTTTCACTTAACTCATGTTTACTTTAGAGTTTCATTGCTATATATGTATAACCACTCATTTGAATAGATTGAGCACTCTGCAATAAAGTTTACTTGCCTTAAATGCCTCCTTATCAGCAAATCACTGAAAATCCAACAACTTTGACTTTAAAAACAGTATTTCAAATTAACACTATATCTATCTATTTATATATATATATATATATATGTGTGTGTGTGTGTGTGTGTGTGTGTGTGTAAACAAGGAGAGATCAGATGATTTCTCCATGTTTACATATATATATGTAAACATATATATACATATATATATGTAAACATATATTTTATATATATATATATATATATATATATATATATATATATTGCTGGAAAATTTTAAAAGAGGCAAAGCCTTATAACATCCACAACAATATTTGCAACCTCTGACAACAGGAAAAATTAGCAACAATGATATTTCCGGATCCAAACAATCTTTTAAAACAGAAATTCAAAGTCTTGAGTCCTTGCATACATATTAGTAAATTACTCTTAAGCACAAATGACGCTGGATAAAAAAAAAAAAATATACATTTCAATTACATCCCCCACAATACCCTTATAATACCCTTGCTTTTCTTCTTTTTCTTCTTTCTTCTTCTTGTCCTTCCTTCTTCACATCCTCCACCTCCCTCTCTATCACACCCAATGTTGTGCTTTTGTTTATTTATTTTAATAATAAATAATATAGTGTTCATTAGGTTTTTTTTTAAATAAAGCATTGAGAGGTCATTTGATAAAAATTGCCAGAGCATACTGTAAGGTTGAAACCAAGGTAGTGGATTCAACTGATCTCCTGATTTTTAATTTATATATATATATATATATATATATATATAGTAGTGGCCATAATATAAGGAACGGAAACAACAAAGACATAAATATGTGTATTACTTAAAAAGTAATGCATGATTAGCAATGAAATTTTTACCAAATAAAGATTAGGGTGTAATGTATAAATATTATACAAAGTTACAAAAATTTACATAATAGTTTTTTTTTAGTAAAGATTAAATGGAACAAAGGAAATCAGCTACTGGACAAAAGTTAAGGAACAATGTTAATAATTTGCATAAATGTAACTTTGTATAATATCAAGGAACTGAAGAAAGTCTGTGAAGAAGAATGGGTGAAAATCTTCATGCAAGAAGCTCATAAAAACTACAGAAAATGCCTCGAGGCCTTAAGGCAGAACAGAAGATATGCTACTAAATATTAACAAATCGTGTTAAATACTTTTGCACACAGTCAAATTCATAAATTGGTAATAAATATACATAAAAACAATGTTTCTCAATTTTCCTTTCTGTTTAGTTAGTGTTTATTAAAATATTTGAAGTAAGTATCATTCAAATTGAACAATGTTTTATTGTGAAATTTATAAAAAAAAAATGATTAAATACTTACTGTATATATGCCCACATTCACAGTTTAGAGAGATATTAGTTGAAAATATATCTATATTACATGAGATAAGATTAGATGAGATTGAAAGTACTTGGGAAAATAAAAACTTTGAAAGAAAATTTTGGTATTTTTTTAATCAATTTTCTAAGGTTAGCAAGAAATTAATCTGTGAACTTGAAAGGATCACAACCAAACTAAATTGACATGATATGTTTAAATTATTTAACCAAACCTGTTTGAATATAATATATATATATATATATATATATATATATATATACAGACACATATCTATTATATATATATATATATATATATATATATATATATATATATATATATATATATATATACCAATCTCATTGAATATGACAGACAAGGTGCTTTGATTTATATTTTTTATAGAATTTCTCATGTGATCTTATAATTTTTTCTTTTCAGAGAATAAATTATATAAAAATTGTCCAACTGTTCATTCTTTCTGAGCACTTTCAGCTATACATTTAGCCATTTTCAAGGTTATTTAACAGTGGAAGTGAAATGTTAAATGTTTTTTAAAAAAATAGAAATATACTCACATGAATTACATCCATGCTCAAAATAAATGCTCCTATTCAAAACAACACAAAAATAAAATACAACTTAAACAGTCAAAACATGAGGAAAAACTAACAACAACAACAACAAAAAAAAAATTTGAAAATGGCTAAAGAAATGGCCGAAAGTTCTTGGGTCAATGAACATTACAGAAAATTTCTGTACTCCCTTACTCCTCCAAAATGGCAACACGTAAAGATGCTGGGAAAACTAAATAAAAAATTAATTAAATGTTCCTTGTCTGCCATATTTAATGAAAGAAGTTTAAAAGAAAGGTTGCTGCTCAAATATACATATACATATATATATATATATATATATAGATAGATAGATAGATAGATAGAAAGAGAGAGAGAGAGTCAGCATAGAAACAAACACTGCATGGTGAATGGTGACTCAGTTTCTCACCTAAAAGTATCATCAGACAATATCAACACTGTTATTAGCTAAAGCAATTAGAAAGTTAATTAATAATGAAGATAGGACAGTCTAAATCAGCTATACTTAACCGAGGGGGAAATTTCATGTTGTCAGGGGGAAAATGTTTTGAAGGAGGTTTTCTGTGATTTGTGTTTTTCTGTGTGTGATTTTATAACAAGCAACTCGGGGAAACAGCCAGTAGTTGTTTGTCCTTCTTTTTAACAACGTAATCAACCTGTGTCAGTCCATCACTGTTACTGTTTGGGATCCAATCATTGCTTGCATTCATATGTGCAATTTTATATTTGTTGAAGTTTTGAGACACAATTTACCATTATTGTTTTCTTTTCATTTTCCTCAGGAGAAGATGTCCAAAAAAACAACGTTATCAAGATTCCTTCGTAGACTTTGGGCTTTCCTTTCTGATCCAGATTGAAGAGTAGCTACCTCAATGTGTGCTGTGTTTGAAAATTTGGGGGATGGCTCCATGAAACAATTCCAGTTGAAACAAGGTCTTAAAAACAGCCATCCAGTATTCCAAGAAAATGATCGTGCGTTTTTCAAGCTCAAAGAGGCCAATTTAAAACAAGCAAGATTAGATGCAACTGGAACCTTCCATTGCCAAACAGCTGCATTTGTGAAAGTGTTATACAAAGTTGCCTATGAGATCGGGACGAATAAGAAGGAATATACAATTGGGGAAACACTGGTAAAATCATGTTTGTTGAACCTGAACCATACTAGTTTTGAGAGACTCTATCAGATGATGAAGCAAATTTCAATGTCAAATGACACCATTCGTTCTTGTATTGACAGTATGAAGCAGTAATCGATTTCAAAAATTAAAAAGACAACTTTCTTTGAAATCCAAATGGATCAGTTAACAGATGTTGCAAATCTTTCTCAACTGTTAGTCTTTGTGAGATACAATCATAAAGAGAAAATTGAGTATGGATTTTCTGCTTTGCCAACCGCTTGAAACAAGTGCCAAAGCTGAAGATGTCATGTAACTTTTATCCTTGTTTTTTGAAGAATTTAACTTGAATTAGGATTCCTTGGTTGGAGTATGCGTAGATGAATTTCCTGCAATGTTGGGTTCAAGATCAGGATTAGTTACCCTCATCCAGCAAAAGAATCCACTAGCCCAAACTAGTTACTGTGTGCTTTATAGGGAAGCACTGATGTCAAAAACTCTTCCAAGATCCCTTCATGATAACTTGTCGTGATTGTGATTAAAGTGGTCAACTCCATCAAAGATTCAACTCTTAACACAAGTCAGAATTTGGAAGCAGGACATGATGCTTTGCCTTTTCATATGCAAGTTTGATGGCTGTTCAAAGGCAACATGTTTTGACGGGTGTTTGAAGTGTTCAATGAGGTTATTTTTGTAAATTTTTCTCTTTCCTCTTCTCAGTTATTTCCAGAATTTTGTTTTGAAACTCCTTATGCATCAGTTCCATTTCTCATTGAAATTGCATCTGTCTATTAAAAGTTTCCTCCTGTAGTTGCATCTGGAATGCTTTCTGTTGCTCTAATATTGTCATTTGTTGTTCCGTCTGGAACTTAAAAAATTCGTGGAATATATTTTTGCATTCGTCCATCTTCGCAAAACGTTTACACAATGCTTAAATATTGTAGAGGGGAGACCAAAACGAATTTGTAATTCGTGATCTATTTGAGCAAACTCTCTTATCGAGAAAAAAAAATTCTTTTCCCAGTTGAGAATACAACTGATTTTTTTGTCACTAAGTTGACGTCTTGCCTTTCGAAAACTTTTCCAAGTTTTTTTTTTTTTTAAATGTGAATCCGAGATGTTGTCACCAAAAATTTGACGAGCAAATTTTTTTTTCTTTTTCCTCTGTATGAAAAACGAATTTTGTCACTAAATAACGTGTCGAGCAAATTTTTTTTTTTTTTTTTCACTGTATGAAACCGAATCCTCGTATGCCATGTTTGTTATGGCGGGTGAATTTTTTTTTTCTTTTCAGTATGATTTACGAATCCACATCATCAAGTGTTGTAGAGTGAACACAAAGTTTTTTTTTTTTCCCCGTATGAATCCAAAATACGTTTGTCGCCAAGTGTTTTATATGGCAAAACAATTTTTTTTTTTTCTTTAAATTTTTTTCGTATGAATTTCGAATTCTGGTCGCCAAAGTTGTTATAGAGTGAACGAAAAATTTTTCTTCCATATGAATTACGAATCCCTCATCGCCAAATGTGTTGTAGAGTAATTTTCACAGTGGAAGTTTGTATTTCACTAAGTCGGTCCTAAATTAGGTTCGACGTACAGAACATTAGGAACTTGAAATAATAGTTAATGACGCAGCAATCTAGTTGTGGGGGTGGGTCATACTTTAATGTCCGACATTGACTGACTCACACAACTCACTGAGCTCACTCGTGACTGCTACTACTACTACTTATTATCTGTGGGAGAGTCTATTTACAATAGAAATAGGTACGTTCCGGTATAACAGTTATGTTGTTCCTTGAGGAACAAGGAAAGGCTATTCTTTTGGAAGAGTTGAGAAATGATGACTTCTGCATTCGACTGGTTTACTTGGCTGATGTTTTTGAGGAGCTTAATGAACTCAACAAGCAGTTTCAAGGAAATGATATAAACATTCTGATCCAGACAGACAAAATCAAGGTATTTGTGGCCAAATTTCATCTCTGGAAAGGCCAAATAGAAAGGGGCAATTTTACGTCTTTTGTGAGTTTGAGTAAATGTGTTTATGATGTTATTATGAAAGGAATTGCTGAAGATATTGCTGATCCACTCACTGCTTTTTGAGATGAGTTCCAAAGATATTTTCCGAGGATTGTTGCTGATAATGCTCAAAGCACACTGATCAAAGATCCATGTCAATGTGATGTTAGAACTGTCAAAGAGGCACTTCAAGAGCAATTTCTTGAGCTCTACCATGACTTCTATGAAGGATGAATACAATGTTGTTAATCTGGAGAGGTTTTGGCTGTCTGTTTCCATTCTGTATCAAAAGCTGTGTAGCAAGCACCTGAAAGTGTTAGTGCCATTTTCAACAATTTATTCATGTAAGGCAGGGTTCTTTGTGCCTGCCAGTATTAAAACAAAATTCTGCAATCATCTGAATGCTGAATTAGATCTGTAGTGTACTCTAGGATGGACTCCCCCTAATATTAATGGCATAATATTACAACAAGTCCAACGTTCCAATTGATTAAGTCTTTTATTAGATTCCTATTTTTTTTTTAAATAAAAAAGAAAATGTCATCATGAAAGCACTTCCTTTATCTTCTTTTTGGCGACATTTTTTGAGAGCTGGGAAATGACTTGGTTGGCTAATTGGAAGGTGTAAGTAGGTCAGAAAAGTTAAGAATACCAATAAAAATACCCAGGCTCTACTGAAAACAGGCATTTGAATGTAACCCATCATATCTGGAATCGGTAGTGCTTTCAACAGATTAGGACAATTAGCCCTTCAAATAGCAATCTAGTGGAAATTTACATATATATATATATATATATATATATATATATATATATATATATATATATAAGGTGTAATTCAGTAGCAACAATCATGTTTTATCTCTATCTATAAAAGGCAGGATGTGTGTGTGTGTGTGTAACGAATGCATGGCTGCAATTTTCACTGGATTTGCACCAAAATTTACATGCACATGCTACAAATTAGCGGGAAGGCCAAGACCAACTTTGCATTTCCCAACTCCCATCAATAGTGGAAATAATTGATTTTTTCATGCTTCTACGGCAGTTTTCATGTAGTTTGTGGCCATTTTCTACTGGCCAGAGTGAGAGCCTATAGCTGGCTGCCACAAATAGGTAGGAAGATTCTATTGGCCAGTGTGAGAGCCAACAGCTGACTGACATGAATGCTAACTAGCATGCTAGCATGCAAAAAAAATCAATAGCTGCATTCGTCACAAGTGGGAAAAATTTAAATCTGCATGGCTCTTTATTCCAATTAGCTCATTCGCTTGCTTAAACTCAATGTTGATTTTGATTCCGCAGAACTGGGTTGGGTGTGAAAAAGTATTTGTTGTTAACATTCTTTTTTCATTTGGTTTTTCCAGTTACGAGTCCTTTTTTAAAGCTGATTGTTTTGTGTTCATTTTGTTTAGTTGTTTTTTCGTAACAGATGTTTAGTATAGAGCTTAGAAAAAATTTGCAGTGTGAGATAGGCAAGAAGTAAGGCATGTAGCAACATCAGCACGGCAAAGGGCACTCCTTTAAAGGCAAGGAAGGGCAAAAATATTTTAAGTCAAGTGATAGTGATTGCTGTATGAGTCGTATGATTTTTGAATCAAGCACGGGCAACACCAGGCCATGCTGCTAGTATATATATAAGGTGTAATTCAGTAGAAACAATCATGTTTTATTAAACAATATCGACAAGCCCTGTCTATCAATTTTTTGGTGCTATTAAAGTATAATATCTACTATTCATTTTCTACTATTGTATGATATTTACCAACTGTTGGAAGTATGAAATATGTTAGGGTTAGGGTTAGAGTTAGGGGTTAGTATTAAGGTTAAAGGCAGTGAACAGTGAACTGGTTATGTATTAAAAATCATTAACAATTTTTTATACAAAAACTTTTTTTAAAAATCATCAAATAGTGATCGCAACTATTAATTGTTAACTGTAAATTATTATAAACTGATCTGATGTCATTTAAAAACAGTCAACACGACATACTTTCTCCTGAGCATTTTCCAGCAATAATGAGTGCATCATCATTTACAGTAATTCACAAATGCCTCATACTATAAGTAGCACCATTCTTTTATTAAATCTTTCAAATTTCCAATTAAGTTGTTTTGTTTCATCGGTAAATTCACCAAAATTCATATTAACTTTTATTTTATATTATCTTTTTCTTCTCAAGTACATTTTTTTTAACATATAAATATTTGCCGATTATTTAAATATTACAATTTACCAATTATTTAAGGATAAATAAAATAGTTTTAAATTTTGCATAAAGGCTTCCTAATATTGTTTTGTTTTATTGTTTACAGTTTAATTAAATATGGCAGCTCAAACAAAAGGTAATCAAATAGATGAATTGAAAATGGCAAGTAAGAACTTGGAGGTGATAAAACAGTTGAACGTTTAAAGTTCAAACAGGTACTCAAGTTTCACATGACCAGAATGCCTGACAATCACAGTAGTGTGAACCTAAAGTAGTGATCTGAACTTTGTTTCTTTTTTTAATCATAATTCTTCTGTCTTGGGTATTTAGACATAGAGCACAACTGTCTATTATGCTTAGGTAGGTGTCTGTCTTCAGCTTTTCTTCTCAGTTTTTACCAACAATTTGGCATGTTGTATATATTTATATCTATATATATATGTGTGTGTGTGTGTGTGTGTGTGTGTGTGTGTGTGTATATATATATATATATATATATATATTATAAATTTACTAATTTAAAAATATGGTTATTAGTAAATTTATATTTATGCTTTCCAGAATTGTATTGAGCACTGATTTTTAAAAATAAAAATAAATAATAAGAACACTGGATTATAGATCTTACTGTTCTTTCTCTTTATTTTAATATACATATATATATATATATATATATGTGTGTGTGTGTGTGTGTGTGTGTGTGTGTGTGTGTGCAGGTATGTAGAAAAAATAGGAAAGAACATGTTAGGTAAATAATCCAGGGTTCTTTAGTATTTTTTGTTTTTATTTTTAAAAACGGTGCTCCATACAAAATTAGATTATAGGATTATATTATATATATATATATATATATATATATATATATATATATATATACCCGATGTAGCAGAAAAATTGTTAACAGCATTATTTTCCATGCCACAAATTTTTTAATATCTAAACAATCACTAAACTAATTGAGTTTCTTTTTTTTCCAGATTTTCAGATAACATTTTTAACCATTTTGACACCATTTGCCGTAAGAATCACTGAAAAACCCTATAAGTTATTCAGAGAAAAAGAGAACAGGTTAAAATTGTCTTGTGTCAGACCCACTGTCTTCCCAACTGAGCAATAGTGAGAGGAAAAAGATCACCCAGGTCTTCAATAATGATACCAACATTCATATTCTGTCTTTCATCTTCAAAGTCCATTCAAGAAACATCAAGAGAACTGTGAATAGGTTTAAAAAAGGTGGTCATAACAGGAAGCAAGATCATCATTTCAACTTAGAGCTACAGAGATCAATTAGAAAAGAATCTAACTTAATCCACAAGAGTGGAGTTTCAGCTATGAGAGTCCAAAGTGCAATGAAAAATGACTTGAAAATGAAATGTGAAACATGTGAGGCAACTTGTTACTCCAGGATAGAAAGTTAGAAGGTTAGAGAGGGCGAAAATCATCTTGAATAAGTTGGAAAATGATCCTGGAATAATATATATATATATATTTCAAATTTATTTTAATCCTTCATAATCTGCCAATCCTTAGTTATGATTAATTAATGATTAATGCCATTTTCGTTTATGACCAATTTCATCACAATTCTTCTGTCAAGCTTGGAGAGTAATTATAGATTCTTATTACTCAAAGTAGAGTCCAATAGTGTTATAAAAACCTCGAAGAATTCCAGTAAGATATCTTTAATCATTTCTAAGCTACAACAGTTCAGACTATAATTGAACGATTGGACAATTTTGCTTTTACACAATTTGGACAATTATGCTGTTACAGGAGCAATGTGTGTATCATATATATATATATATATATATATATATATATATATATATATATATATATATATATATATAGTTCTTGAAAATATATTTTCAATTGAGCACTGTTGAATGACAAGCTAATTCTAAAAACAACAACCACTTGCGCTAATCCGCAGCTCTTCAGTAAAATGAATGGAGCACTCTGGTTGTTTGACATTTGTTTAGATTTGTAAAAAAAAAAAAGAATATGCTAGATTTAGCTGCCTCATTCTATTGAATGAAGATAGCTCAGTGATAGGGACTCTGACTGACACTAAATTGGTTGGGTTTCAATCCTGGCTTGAGGTATTTAGATGTCTAGTCGCACTGAAGAGCTGCGAAACAGTAATGTCTGTGAATGATATATATATATTTTAATCAAATTTACTCCAAGCAAGACAGTAAAGCCACTAAGACACAAGGGGACTAATGGGTGTAAAAGGATTAGAAAAAAGAGAAATATTATAAAGGAGCAAGAACAATAGGAGACTAATCAGGAAGAGAGTAGATAATGATTGGAACTGCATTTAAATTTTTGAAAATCAAAGTTGAAGTGTGAGAAAAGAAACTGCATAGAACTTATGGTTATATTTAACCAACTCAACTGTAAATTGATGAGACCTTGTTGCCAGTCAAATACTGTGGTTAAATTCATAAAGTCTAGGTACCACAGAGGAAAGTTCATCTGAATAACTACCATGAAATATTTATAGAAAGTAACTGAAGCTGAGATGTCAGGTCAGGACCAAAAATATTGCTGATTCTTCTTTGGATTTTATCAAGACTCACTAAATATATAGCAGGAGTACAGTAGCAATATTCTATTATGTA